TATTAGCAACTTATCAGACAGCAGACATGTTGAGGCGTCGTGCTGCATATATGAGCGTCATCTTCACTGTGTGGATATTTATAACTAAACGGAGCCGATAACAACACTGCCTCCTGTCAATTTCAGTGAAAATACGAAACACACCCTCTCTTTTGCTGAATATCAGATTAATAATCAATAATGGCCATTATAAAAGTGTAACATACAATAAGTTTATACATTATAGGAAATAAAGGCAAGCGATCAGTCAATATACAGAATGTACGTGCTTACATTAATCATTAACTTATCTTTGCGCTCAGCCAAAACACGTTACCTGAGAACAAGTAATAGATTCCAATGACCAAAGTCAGGGAACATGTCGTTAAAGACAACAAGATGAATGAAATATCCCGTTTAATAAATATAGTGAGATTATTAGATCCAGCGGGAGATGCTTGATGAGCAGTCCGACCAGCAGAGCTCTCATCTGGGTAGATGGGCTGCAGCGCTTGCCCGAGTGTGTGTGTGTGTGTGTGTGTGTCTGTGTGTGTGGTCACGTGATGTGCGTTTTCAGTGTTTTGGTGTGGACGGAGAGCAGTTCAGAAACGCTGGGTAAAACACTAGTGTGGACGCGGATCTTTTTCATTCTAAAACGCCGTTTTAAAACTAAACGCACTCGTGTAAACGGCGCCTCAGTCCTTATTTGGGTTCAGAAACAGCAGGAGATACAGGCCAGAGTCAGAGCAGAGCATCATCTGTGTGTGTGTGTGTGTGTGTGTGTGTGTGTGTGTGTGATGTTCAGCAGCACATGGAGCCTCTGTTCAGGCTGATTTATACTTCTGTAACAAACACACACGTATGCTACAGCAGTCTGCGTTAGACCTAACCCTAACCCATCCTCTTAAAAAGTGTAACTACAAGTCGCAACGACGCGTAGCGCAAGCTCTGTGATTGGTCAGCTTGGTAGCGCTGACGAGTCGGGGCGGGACCAAGAGCCACGCGAGCCCGATGGAGTGAGTGTTTACAAGTGTGGAGTCCCGTGAAGGAGCTCCGGATGGAAAGTTTTGTTCTGTGTTTACCTCATAGTTAAAGTTGTTGCACGTCCACCGGTTCCTGCCTCACAATGAGCGAGTTTGAGCCACTTGTACATCCCGGAAGTGTTCAGAAAGAACAAAACACAGGCGAAGAAACTCGACACAGACACAAACACCTCACTGCCCACTAGTGTTTTGGAAGTGTTAATGCAGACCAAGAGAGACAGCAGCAGCAGTATAAGCACAGCTACGCGTGCTGCCTGCACCGTGGGTTACGCCGGTCACCTGACGCAGAAGTATAAACCAGGCGTTAGACTCGCTCCGTCATGCAGCTCAGAGTAGTCCAGCAGCTGATGATCAGAGCTCCTCATGGCCGTGTGTTCATCTGCCGCTGCTGACAGTCATTCGCTCCTCTGTTTTCTCTCGTGTTGTCCGTCTCTGAAAGGATGCGATGTCAGAAGCTCTTCAGTAATCACGTTACTATCATCAGCTCAACAAGATCCTTCAGAAGCAGACGTGCGGCGAGATCTGGAGAAAGTGAAAGTGCTCGTGCTTTAGCCGACCTGGTAAACAACTACAGGGCACAGGGCCGATTCTGCTGCTCTTCTTGGTTTGTGTCTGTTCATCAAGATGACGACGAGGTTTATTTGAGCTCCAGGTAATCTTGGCTCATTATTGTCTGCATATATTATTAGTGTAATGTGTAGTGTAGTAGATGTGTGTTTAATAATGCAGCTTCCTTTGATTTTCAGCTGCGCGTCTGGATCCGCCTTCTGGTACCCTTCTATCATGCTGGTGGCGTTTGGAAAGGGGGTCCAAAAAGGGGTCCGGAACAGTTTGCATTTGGTACCTTATGACAGTGGAAATGGCCATAGCGTACCAAACCGGACCGTACCACTCAGAGGAAACAGGCTATAACACACACACACACACACACACACACACACAGAGAGAGACACACACACAGAGTTTTTTTTAAGGCATTTATTCATGAAATACACATTTTGAAAATTTCAACAAAAGCTTCCATAAAATTGTAAGAAACTGCAGCCCAGATTAAAGTCCTGTGTGTGAATCCAGAAACATGTGCAATAAATAATGCTGATGTCAAACAGAGAGAGAGAGAGAGAGAGAGAGAGAGAGAGAGAGAGAGAGAGAGAGAGCGAGAGAGAGAGCGGTGTGAGGAGATCAGAGCATCAGGACAGGACAGAAGCAGACGTGTGACGAACATTAGTGTGAATGAGCCAAACAGGCACCCGTAGAATCAGAGGAATGAGAACTGTAAGGACTCTATCTGTGACCTGAGCACCTAACCCACAGAGGAACACAGACTGAAGCTTCCAGAACCTTCTGAGAGACACATATTGCACATTTCTTTCCTTGGAAACTGGCGACGGCTCCACCACCTTACAGCTGGGTCAAGCAGACGAGGAGACGGGTTATAATGCTCACGGCATGAGTCCAGTATGAGCCGCTTCATCAGTTACATGTCAGATCACACACACACACTCACACACACACTCACACATCTCTACAGCATCAATAAATAACATTTATAAGGGGACAGAGTTGTGGTAAATACATATGGCTCATTCAGAGGTGAAGGACGCTTTATTCAAATCATCTGGAAAATCAACACCAATCACAAAGCAGAAGCAGACGGCCAATGCTGGAGCGGCGTCGCAGAACACATCTGCTGAACAACACACAGCTCAGACTGGGAGAACACTGACCAATCAGAGAATCTCCAAACTGACCAATCAGAGGAGCACCAAACTGACCAATCAGAGAATCTCCAAACGAGAATTTCTGACCAATCAGAGAATCTCCAATCTGACCAATCAGAGGAGCACCAAACTG